TAAAATTCTTTTCCGAAATTCAATTATTTTTATAAGTAATAAAATTCTTAGAAAGATTTCAATTATTTTTCTAAACAATAAAATTCTTCGAAGGAATTCAATTATTTTTATTACAAGTTTAATAAAATTATACGACAAAATTCTATTATTTTTTAAAATTTTAATTAAATTCTTTGAAAAGTTTTAATAAATTTCTTGTAAATTAAATTATCTTCATAGATAACAAAAATTCTTCACAGAAATTCAATTATTTTCAGAAATAATAAAATTCTTCTGAAAAATTCAATTATTTTCATTACAATTTTAATAAAATTTTACTACAAGATTCAATTATTTTTAAAAATTTTAACTAAATTCTTCACAGAAATTCAATTATTTTTAAAAATGTTAATAAAATTCCTTGAAAGAATTCCATTATTTTCAAAAATTAAAAGAAAACTTTTTGGACGAATTCAATTATTTTCATTAGAATTTTAATAAAATTTTTAGACAAGATTTAATTATTTTCCAATATTTTAATGAAATTCTTCAAAAAATTCAATTATTTTCAAATATTTTGAGTTTCTTTATAAGAATTAAATTATTTTTAAAAATTTTAATAATTAAAAATAAATAAAGGCAATTTTTTCAGAAACTGTATCGAATTTATATAAACGCTTTCATTATTTTTTGCGAACTAAAATAATTCTCAAAAATGTAAAAATTAAAAAAAGTCTTATTTTCAAAAAATGAGATCAATTCTGTCTTAATTCCCATGAACACATATTTTGCGAATTTTACGTGACACCTTTTTTTTACAACAATTTTCAATGACAAATTTTTTTTACAATCCTCTTTTTTTACGATTTTGCAAAAAAACGAGTTTTACCAGTTTATTTTATTATTGCACACACTATAAAATTACGCGCGCGTGGATTTTGTTTGCAAATTAATTTCGTAAAATTTTAATCAGGGAATTTCTTATTTTAAATCTCGTATAATTGAAGGAAATAATTTCTTAATTTCTTAGTAAAATGTGAACATTTTTACTTTGGTTAAGTTCTCACAACGTTTCTGATCAATCACTATATGAGAAAAAAAATATTTTTCTTGACGAATACAATAAACTCTGTTTAAAAAATTTTTTCTTTTTCTTTTCTAAATTATTATAATATTAAATAAACACGCAAAATATTTTTTTATTCAAAAATACATCAATACTTTCATAGAAAAATATTTTTTCTTCTAAATTGTTGATTATAAACATTGCAAAAATTCACCAAAGTCCACACTAAAAATAAATTTATTTACTTGAATAATAAATAAAAAAAGTAAATAAATATTTACTTGAATCGAATAATATTTATTGGAGTCAATTAAATGGTATTTGAACCAATAATTTCAATATTTGAAGCAAATACTATTTAATTGACTCCAATGAATATTATTTGATTCAATTAAATATTCAATTGACTCCAATAAATATTATTTGGTTCAAATAAATATTTAATCAATAATAGTCAATTAATCCGTTTTAATCAAAAAAAATTTTTTCAGTTAATTTTTGCCAAACATGTACAACAAACAACAACACGACAAACATTATTGGTGTATAGTTACACAATACTGTGAGAACATTGTAAACAAAAAAAAAAAAAATTCCTAGCAAAAATTCGATGGCGGCGGGGTGCCCATATTCTTTCTTCTTTGATGGCATGGGGAGAGAGAGGGATTTTTTATGAAAAAGTTACACATAACATCGACTCGTTACATTAAGACACAGTTACGATGGATAATTGTTGGTTGTGGTTCTCCTTCTCGGGCGGCTCTCCACATTTAAGTTTCTCGCGGTCGTCGTTGTAAATAACAAATGTCCCGTTTATGGATCGTAAACGCCGCTCTAACTATACGCGGCTTATCCGCCTTTACCGCGAGTCTCTTATCTCTGCGTTTGTGTTTCCTACTTCGTATATATCACTCGACTGCATTGTATCACCGAGAACCCCTCATTAGGTCAATTTCGAAAAACCGCCAATGATCCAAGACCTACGACAACAATCAACCTTCCGGGCGAAAACGTCCCGCTTTTATACTCTCAACGTATGACATTTATTCAATTCTCAAAGTGCGCCATATAATAATATAATAAACGCTCAGCGAACACCTCAAGTGCCTTTTAACTCACTTCTTTTATTAATGCCAATTTTCAAAAAGCAAAAAAAATTTTTAAAAAACTCAACAGAATTTGATAAATTTGATAAATGTCAGTTCATAAATATTCAAAATTTGAAATAATAATAGTTACAAAAACAAATATTTTTTGTTTCTTTTTTAATTTAATTTCTATATGTATTAATATCAATATTACACAGTCAAAATTTCCAATTACGCAATCAACATTTATTTTAAATAATTAAATTCGTTTCGAAAAAATTATTAAAATAGTAAATATTCAAAAGCATTGAATTGAGAAAAATTTTTGAAATTAATTTAATTTTTGCCAAAAATTTTATTAACATTTTTGAAAATAATTGAATTTTGGAAAATAATTTAATTTCGGAGATTACTTATAAAGATAATTGAAATTTGGACGAGAATTTTATTAAAATTTTTGAAAATAATTGAATGTTGAAGATGAATTTTATTATTTATAAAGATAATTGAAATTATAACAAGAATTTTATTGAAATTTTTTAAAAGAATTGAATTTTAGAGAAGAATTTATTAATTATAAAGATTATTGAATTCTTGACAAGAATTTTATTAAAATTATTGAGAATAATTTAATTCTTATAAAAAAAAACTCAAAATATTTCAAAATAATTGAATTTATCGAAGAATTTCATTAAAATTTAAAAAAATAATTGAGTTTCTCAAAAGAATTTTATTATTTATGGAAATAAATGAATTCTTGCCAAAAATGTTATTATTTATAAAAAAAAAGAAAAATTGAATTTCGCCAAAGAATGTTAGTATTTATGAAAATAATTGAATTCTTGCCAAGAATTTTGTTAATATTTTTAAAAATAATTTAATTCTTATAAAAAATTCAAAATATTTGAAAATAATTGAATTTTTTGAAGAATTTAATTAAAATTGTTTAAAATAATGAAATCTTGTAAAATCTCGTTAAATATTCTTTAAGTAATTGAATCTTATCAAAAATTTGTGTAAAATTGTAATGAAAATAATTAAATTCGTCCAAAGAATTTTCATTAAATTTTTGAAAATAATTCAATTTCTGTAGAGAATTTTCTTATTTATGAAGATAATTTAATTGACAAGAAATTTATTAAAATTGTAGAAAGAAATTGAATTTTTCAAGGAATTTAATTAAAATTTTAAAAAATAATTGAATTTTGACGTAAAATTTTATTAAAATTGTAATGAAAATAATTGAATTTCCTTCAAGAATTATATTATTTATGACGATAATTTAATTGACAAGAAATTTATTAAAATTGTTGAAAATAATTTAATTCTTACAAAAAAAACTGAAAATAATTGAAAATAATTGAATTTTTTGAAGAATTTAATTAAAATTGTTTAAAATAATTGAATCTTGTAAAATTTCGTTAAATTTTTTTTAAAGAATTGAATTTGTCGAAAAATTTGTTTAAAATTGTAATGAAAATAATTAAATTCGTCCAAAGAATTTTCTTAAAAGTTTTAAAAATAATTGAATTTCTCCGAAGAATTTTATTATTTAAGAAGATAATTTAATTGACAAGAAATTTATTGAAATTGTTGAAAATAATTGAATTTTTCAAGGAATTTAATTAAAATTTTAAAAAAATAATTGAATCTTGTCGTAAAATTTAATTAAAATTGTAATGAAAATAATTGAATTTTTCAGAAGAATTTTATTAAAAGTTTTTAAAATAATTAAATTACGTATTTTAAATAATTTTATTAATATTTTAAAAAAATAAACAATACTTCATTAATAAGCAAAATTTTTTTAATTTTGCGTCTCAAGTCGCTTAAAAATTGAAATTAATATTTAAAAATAATTATTATTCGATTGAGAATAAAAATTTTCATCGAAAAATATTGCTTCTTCGCCAGTATTGATTATAAATGTTAAAAACTTCTCTGTTAAATTGTAAAAATGATAGAAATTGTACTGAAAAATAACGAATATTTTTTGTTTATTTTTAAACTTAATTTCTATATTGATATCAATATTACGCAGTGAATGAAACTCGTCATTTATCAACAACAACAAAAAAAAAAAGAAAAAAAAAACAGTAGTCGCAATTATTTTCAAATAAATGGATTTTCATTTAAATGAAATTATATATAATCACAAGGAATTTCCGGTCTCTCAAAACATAATCTAGATGTGAATTATAAAACTCTTAGTCAAATTAGCAAGAGCTTTATAATACGAATTATTTCTTCTATTGTTCCTATTATGTTATCATAATGCTCCATTATGTTGTTACATTGTTTTTTCACTTTTCACTTACGTCATATGGTGTTGTTCCATATTACGTGTCGTATTGTGCTTCCTATGACGAATTTTTTTGATTCATAAAATTAAGTTTAGATTCTTTTTTATTTCTATTTTTTATTTTTCATTTCTATTTACTCTCCGCTGTGAAGGAAGTTCACTGAACGTTTATAAAGTCGAGTCAATGAAAGTATTTCACTTCAATACTTTTACACGAAAAAAATATTTCATCTGGAACAGCGATAATTTTTTCTAGAATAGCGAAAGTCATAATTGAAAGTGAAACAACTAAAAATTTCGCTAATATAATAAAAATTTGTAGTTGTTTCAGATAAAATATTTTTTGCATGCTAGGAATAAATTTCGTTCGTTTCAGTCAAATTTTAATTAGTGGAGTAAAAATTACATACAATCTAGAAAATTATCTCCGCAAATAAAAAAGTTCCTTGGTCCAGTAGAAGAAAAAAGAAACTTTCGTTTATCATAAAGGAAAAATTTTGCCCAATGTATATTTTTGGAAAAGAAAAAAAAATGAATGAAAGAAGGAATATAATAAAGTACTTACTTGAAACGAGCGATGGTGAGAATGATGTGGGTGATGAGGATGGTGAGGGTGATGTGGGTGATGGGGATGATGAAATTGCGGTGTATGAATCATCTCGTCGTCGGTTTCTTCGTCTTCAGCGGTTGAACTTTTAACCTTGCCGTTATCTGACAAGGATGCTCTAGACTCGCACTTCTCAAAATCACACTCTTCGTCGCCGGACTTGTTCTTTTTCACTTCCAATCTGTTATCCTACAAACAAATTTACACATTTATTAAAAATGTTACATATTTTTTCAATTATTATTTTCTAGAATTTCTAACTAATATTCTCCCTTAAATCAATATTATTTTTAATCATTTTTGAAAAAGTTCTTTGAGAATTTTTAAATCCATTTGTTTCCAATTCAATTTTAGGGAGATTTCGATTATTCAGAAATTTTTTAATTAAATATATTTTAGAAAATAAGAACATTAAATAATTTCAATAAAAATTCAATTAAACTTTTTCAACAAAATTAATTTTATACAGAACTGAAATTCATTTTTAAATCAATTTTTATTGAAAAATTCTGCAATAAATGGATTATTTTAATACAAAAATAAATAATTTATTGAATAATTGAATGTTTCTCAAAAATTGAATTCTCATAAAGAATTTTATCAACAAATTTTTAAATACTAATTGAATTCTATCGACGAATTTTAATAAAATTATCAAGAACAATTGAATTTTTTGATGAATTCAATTAAAATTGTCTTAAAAATAATTGAAATTCTGTGAAGAGTTTTATTATTTATGAAAATAATAATTGAATTATTGTGAAAGAAATTTATAAAAAAATTGTAAACAATTGAATTCTAGTGAAATTTTTATTATTTATGAAAATAATTAAATGTTTGCGTAGAATCTTATCAAAATAATTGAATTCTTTTGAAAAATTTTATTACAATAGTAAATATTCAAAATCATTGAATTTAGAAAATTTTTGAAAACAATTGACATTTTGCCAAGAATTTTATTCAAATTGCTTTAAATATTGAATTATTACCTAAAACTTTAAATGAAATTAATTTTTAAATCAACTTTTATTAGACAATTCTAAGAGAATTCAAATGATTTCAATAAAAAAAATAAAGAATTTATTGAGTAATTGAATATGTCTATCAAAATTGATTGAAATTTCGTAAAGAATTTTTTATCAGCAACATTTAAAAATAATTGAATTTTGAAAAAGAAATTTATTATTTATGAAGATAATTGGAATTTTGCCAAAAATGTTAAAGGTAATTGAAATTTTGAGCAGAATTTTATTTATTATGAATTTTTAAAAATAATTGAATTTTAGAGAAGAATTTTATTATTTATAAAAATAATTGAAATTAATTATTTTATTTTTAATTAATTATTAAATAATTAAAATTAATTGAAATTTCTGATAAGAATTTTTTTAAAAATTTTGAAAATAATTGAATTTCGGGAAAGAATTTTATTATTTCTGAAAATTATTGAAATTTTGTCGAGAAGTTCATTAAAATTTTTAAATATAGTTGAATTTTGAAGATAAATTTTATTATTTATAAGGATAATTGAAATTTTTAAGATAATTTTATTCAAATTTTTGAAAATAATTGAATTTTAGAGAAGAATTTTAATATTTATAAAAATAATTGAAATTTTTACTAGAATTTTATAAAAAATTTTGAAAATATTTGAATTTCTGCGAAGAATTTTACTATTTGAAGAAATAATTGAATTTTTTTGAAGAATTTATTAGAATTTTTAAAAAATAATTGAATTTTAAAGAAGAATTTTATTAAAAGTTTTGAAAATAATTGAATTTTGGAGAAGAATTTCATTATTTCTGAAGGTAATTGAAATTTTGACGAGAAGTTCATTAAAATTTTTGAAAATAGTTGAATTTTGAAGATAAATTTTATTATTAATAAAGATAATTGAAATTTTGAGAATTTAAAAAAAAATTTTAAAAATAATTGAATTTTAGAGAAAATTTTTAATATTTATAAAGATAATTGAAATTTTTGCCAAAAATTTTATTAAAAGTTATGAAAATAATTGAATTTTGGAGAAGAATTTTATTATTTATAAAGATAATTGAACTTTTGACGAGAAGTTTATAAAAAAAATTTGGTAATATTTGAATTTCTGCGAAGAATTTTACTATTTGAAGAAATAATTGAATTTTTTTGAAGAATTTATTAGAATTTTTAAAAAATAATTGAATTTTAAAGAAGAATTTTATTAAAATTTTTGAAAATAATTGAATTTTTGAGATGAATCTTATTATTTATAAAAATAATTGAAATTTAGAGAATTTTATTATAATTTTTGAATATAATTTTGGAAAATAATTTTACCATTTATAAAAATAGTTGAAGAATTTTATTAGATTTGAAAATAATTGATTTTCTGAAAAAATTTGTAACTTCTCAAAAATTAATTTTTTTTAGTGATTTAATATTTATTAAAAATTTTAACTATAATTTCAGGAGAATTTGAAATAATAAAATTTTTCAAAAATCTAAATTCTTTAAAATTTAGAATTAAATTCATTAAAAATTTAAATTTTATAAAATTTTCAATTGAAACTTTTTGAAGTTGATCTAATAATAATGAAAATTGTAAACGCGACTCTTTTAAAATTGAATTAATTTTGAAATATTTGAGTAAAATTATTTATTAAATAATATAAATATAGAAAAAATTGAAGGTTTTGTATTAGAATTTGTTGTAATTTCATAATTTATAAGGCAATAATGAAAAAGACGCAAAAATTCAGAATTTTCTTTTAAATCCAAAAAATTAAATTTTTTTCAGCACTTTCAATAAAAATCTCTGATTTTCCAGATCAATTCTACTTTTTTCCGATTTTTTCCTGACTTCCCTGACATAGAACGTTCTACACGAGTGGACAAAAACAAACACTAAATGCATATAAAATAAACAAACAATAGATTAACGGAATCCAGAAAGTTTTGCGTGAAAATTATTTTGTGAGGCAAGAGCATAAGAGTTAGTTGGCCTCCATATGTCAGGAAAATTTAGTACCGCTAGTTTAAACGTTATCCTAAGAGAGTAATAAACAATATATTACGGTCACGCTTCAATATCTTATTGTGCTTTAGCAGGCGAATATTCAAGTTTAACTTCTTAAGCGAGGAGATATATTTTTCCTATTAGTGTTGGTCCAAATAATGTTCGTTTCACATAATTTAAACACGAAAAAGTATATTGTATTTATGTTTATAGAAGAGAAACGGTAGCCAAGTTAAGAGTTATAACAAGACTCTAATTGTGACGTGTGGTAAGTTTAAAGATCACGACATTATTGAATGTATACAATGCGGAATATGACTGACAACATAAATTTCTTCGAACTCATTGTCAGAAATAACGAGAGAGAGAGACTGGCCATTTTTCAAATTGCTCAAAAAGCATTAAACTTTCAAAAATTAATAACTCCTTTTAATTTATTGTTAAATGTTGTATTACTGCGGTATATGGTGCTTGTTTACATATTTACATTGTAGAATCAATTTGCAAATTAAAATAATCTTTTGTTATTGAAAATGGTTATTTCCATTCACTTTCAGTAATGAATCTACTTGGAAAAATTTACCCATGACTTAAAGTTAAAAATTACACGGGGAAAAATATAAAGTAACTTTTACTACTTTCATTTAGTAAAACCTGAACCTAAACTTCTGCGCATTTCTGGTATAACTTTTACTACTTTCGGAGTAAATTTTGCTACTTCGAAATAAATTTTACTACGTTCAAAGAATATGTTTGTAAAAAATTAGTAAAATTTACTTCGAACGTTGCAATGTTTGGAAGAAAAGACAAAAAAAAAGTCGCAATTTTTCGAAAATAAGTCGAAATAGTCTCAATTTTCGTAATTTCCCTGACAAAAATTTTTTTCATGACATTTACCTGATTTAACTGACAAAAATTTTGTTTTAGGGTGTCAAGGAAATTTTATCATTTATCACCTGGAAATCATGGAATTTTATAAGGAGAAATTTGTAGAAACCCTGCGATTAAATGAGTCTTTCGTCATTCTGAAAAAAAATAAATGAAGAAAAAAATAAAATTGGAAAAATGGAGATTTTTACCAAGAGCAGAATCTACGGAGACATTAGAATGAAATAAAAATAAGAAGAGTGAAAAACTTACATCTTCCGGAGCTTCATCGAGACCGACAAGTTGCAATGCTTCCTCGAGATTGAATCCGTCGGGTATGCTCAGTGAGTCGTTGTTGAGAAGACCCTCAACGCTGGTACCACCTAGGAGCCCACCTCCGAGTAGGTCTGTCGTGAAGTCATTCTCAAGACCAAGAGTGTCATTAAGTCCTAGGGAATCTTCAGAAAGTCCCACTAATTCGTGATTATTGAGGCCCAATGAAGGATCACCCAAAAGTTGATCACTGACCGAACTGTCAACGGAACTGCTCTCGCCCTGACTTTGGTTTGATGAACTAAGAATATATTCCCCTGGAAAATGCAAACGAAATTAATAAGCATATTTATTGACAATATTTTACTAAGTACAAAGAAAAAAAGGGCCACGAAAATTAATTATGTTCCTTAAGTGAAATTAGGAACTAAATTAGGACTAAAAGTCTCTAAAATCTCCGAATAACATATAGTTTTCGAAGCTAACTTCAGGGATTTATTCAAGTCTTTCTGCGGAGATCAAATTGAGACAAAAAACGTAGTTTTTTGTCGTTTTTTGTCTCAATTTGATATCCTTAGAAAAATTATGATAGAAAAAAATTTATTTACTGCATCGCAAAAATTTTGATACGTTTTGTGTCTCAATTTGATATGCTTATAGAAAAACTGTTTTTTTATTTATGTCCCTGAAGTTAGCGTCGAAAATTCTAATTTAAAGATTTTAGAGATGAAAATTTCACTAATTTCACTTCTTTCTCTCACCTAGGGAGTCAAAAAATGTTCCAGAATAATTTTCCATAATCTAAAATCTTAAAAAATAATTATTTCAGTCTTTTCAGTTTCGTGAAAAACGGTTTTTCGACGATCAACGTCGACGTCAACTTTAGAAACATTTTTATTTTTTAATTAAACATTTGCTTAATTGAAATTCATTTATTTACTATTTACTTCATTAAAAATTAAAAATTTAGGGTAAATATAGAGCTTCGCGTTGAAAATTATAAAACCGACGGAACATTCGAGTTTATACATAATGCACTTAGTAATATTATAAATTCATGAAAGAATTACATTTATTTTCTAAATTTCTAAAAAATCCTTCGAAATAATTCAATTATTTTTTTAAATAGTAAAATTTTTGCAAAAATTCAATTACCTATTTTCTAAAATTTTAATAAATCCTTCTAAAAAAATCAATTACTTTTAAAAATAGTAAAATTATTTGCAAAAATTCAATTATTTTTAGCAATTTTAATCAATTCTTCGAAATAATTCAATTTTTTTTATTAATTTTTAATATTTTACGAAAAATTCTATTATTTTCTTAAATTTTAATAATACCTTCAAAACATTTCAATTTTTCTTTTATTTTCAAAAAAAATTCTCCGGAAGAATTCAATTATTTTATAAAATTTTAATAAATCCTTTTAAGAAATTCAATTATTTCTATAATTAGTAAAATTATTTGCAAAACTTCAATTATTTTTAATACAATTTTAATAAATCCTTTGTAATAATTCCAGTTTTTTTAAAATTTTTAATATTTTTCGAAAAAATTCAATTATTTTCTAAAATTTTAATAAATCCTCGAAAACAATTCAATTTTTATTTTATTTTCAATAAAATTCTTCAAAAGAATTCAATTATTTTCTAAAATTCTAAAAAATCCTTCGAAACAATTCAATTATTTCTTCAAATAGTAAAATTCATCGCAAGAATTAAATTAGTTTTTATAAATAATAAATTACTTCTCAGGAATTCAATTATTTTTCATACAATTTTAATAAAATCTTGTGAAAGAATTTAGTTTATTTTCTATTTTTAATAATATTTTTCGAAAAAAATCAATTATTTTCTAAAATTTTAATAAATCCTTCGAAAAAATTAAATTATTTTTTTAAATAGTAAAATCTTTGTAAAAATTCAATTCTTTTCTAAAATTTTAATAAGTCCATAAAAAAAATTCAATTATTTTTTTAAATAGTAAAATTCTTTTCAAAAATTTCAATTATTTCTTAAAATTTTAATAAATACTTCGAAACAATTCAATTATTTTCTAAAATTTTAATAAATACTGCGAAACAGTTCAATTATTTTTTCAAATAGTAAAATCTTTTAAAAAATTTCAATTATCTTTATAAATATTGAAATTCTTTCTCTAAAATTCAATTATTTTCAAAAATTTCAATAAAATTCTCAAAATTTCAATTATCCTTATAAATAATAAAATTCATCTCCAAAATTTAATTATTTTCAAAAAATTTTATTAAAATTTAATTTAAAAGTTTTAATAAAATTCGTCACCAAAATTCAATTATTTTCAAAACATTTAATAAAATTCTTGGCAAAAAATTCAAATTTCTCTATATAAATATTGAAATTCTTTTCTGAAATTCAATTATTTTCAAAAATGTTAATAAAATTCTACTCTAAAATTCAATTATTTTCAAGAATTTAATAAAACCTTTTAAAAAATTCAATTTTTTTTCAAATAGTAAAATTCTTTGCAAAAATTCAATTATTTCTTATAAATTATAAAATTCTTCTCAGGAGTTCCACTGTATTCAATAAAATTTTAATAAATTTCAATATTCAAATATTTAATTACAATTATTAACAGAGAATTATTTTAAAAACTCGAAAGAAATTGTTTAAAAAATTCAATTACTTTCAAAATTTTCAAGTCAATATATTTTAAAAAAACTCCATTATTTTTAAAAAATTGAAAAAAATTCTTCAAAAGAATTTAATTAGACGTTAAAAAATGTTTTCTTCACAAAACCGAAAAGAATCAAACTATTTTTTTTAAGACGTTAGGTTAAACAATTATTATTTCTTTATGCAGTGTTATTATTTTTATTGTACTTATTTCGTTCCATAATTATAATTAAAAAAGTAGAAATAACCAAAGGAATTTGCTTCTGAATTAGGAAACTTTTGAAAATTAAATTCACTAAAACAATTATCAATTTAAAAGTCAATTATAATAAAAGTGATTCACTTAAAATGTATGTATATACATATAATATCTATTTCTTTGCAACGCGAGTTTAATTATATTGCTGTTAAACACAAAGGTTAATAATATATTTTATTGTACCACTTATTGCCAACTATAAAATAATTCTTATGCATCTGACTATAAAACACAAAACCAATTTTCTAAACATGTTATTGCCATAGTAAATTTGTATAACAAGACAGAATAATTTCTCTTTGCGCATTAAAGAAGCTAAATTAACTTCCCTCTTAATTACACTCGCATAATCGGATTTATTGGTGTATTATATAAAACAAGAAGCATTCCGAAAAAGAAAACACGATATCTATAATTATAGAAAAGCAACAATAATACTCATTTCTTTAGAAATTTTTATACTCATTTTTCGACATGAGGCTGAACTCCGCAGCTAATTTTTAAAAACGAAACATCAAAAAAGAAATTTTTTTCAAGTTAAATTTATCTTTAATTTTCATGTGCTTAGATTTAAAAAAAACTAATTGTTAAAAAACAACGTGAATTTGAAGCCAAAATAAAATAAATCGACCCATTATTTTTTCGTTTTCGTTTTTAAAAACGTTGTTGACTTCAATCTTATTTTTCGACACAGTTTACTTGAAAGAATCAAATTGATACCAAAAATTTGAATCAATTTATGGTTCGATTCACATTTTTGGTATCAATTCGTTGCCTTTTGATATCTTCAAGTTAACAGTGGATTTAAATAATCAATTCGTATAGTGTTTCGTTTATAGAAAAGAAGAAAAAAATTTGAAAAAGTCTTTACTAATTTTAAAAACGTATTTAAAAAAAGCAAGTTAATTATAAAAAAAACTCAACCTTAAATTCGTTCCTAGAGTTAAAATCGAATCGATGAAATTGGTCAATCCTGAATAATAAAAACGCTTTAAAAAATTCCTTTTGTTTTCAACACATATTCACAACACACAAAAGCACAAACATTTTTTTTCCTCCATCTACAATCGTGCACTTTAAATAGGAAGAACAAAAAAATAATTCACTTCATAAAAACCATATCCATTTAAAATATATCCTCTGTATGTAATTCGTTGCACTTGATCACAGAAAATAATCCAATGAATTTTGAACACATGACGAATTGAAATATGTGTTTTAATATCACAAAAATAGCAGAGTCATTCATTAAGTTCTCAAGAACTTTTATAGATATATATATAAGAAGAGGAAGAAATTATAACACTTAAAAACTATTTCTATTGGAAAAGTAAGAAAAAAAAATATAAGAGAAGAGAAAGAAAGGAAAAAAAAACTACTGACTATAATTTGTCGAAAATTCGGATAAGAAGCGAGACGTTGGGACTAGACGGTAAGCACTTGAAAACTGACTGCCATCCCGACGGCGGCAGGTAAAATTTTTCGAGGGGTTGAGGGGGTGGTTCAGGGGGAATAAGCAGAAAGGCAAGAAAAAACGTAACTAATTGAAGGACAATAGAGTGCTGTCGAAGATCCACCTGAATTTTCTGTTAAACCCCTAAGGGTTCCGCCCTCCAGCCAATCCTGACTTTCGACTTCGTCCCTACTCCAAAAATTTGTACGCCGCACATACAACAATATTAATGATATTTTCTTTTTTTCACTTTACTTTTCATAATTTTTGGAAAATTTCAATTAAAATTTTTTAATTGTAAATAAAACAATTAAAAATTGTTTTAATTTAAAAAAAAATTTTTTTTTAAATTTTAAAATAAAAAATAAAATTGGTAATATGTACCTTAAAGTTTTATTTATAACTATTTCTTCATGTTTTCTAATAATTAAAGATGATCGAATCATTATTTTAGATTATAAAAATATTATTACTGTGGCTTATTCAAAATTATTTTCATCATCTCAATTAAATTATTATTTTCTAGAATTTTTAACTAAAATTCTTCTTTAAATCAATTATTTTTAATATTTTTTGGAAAAAGTTCTTTGAGAATTTTCAAATCCATTTGCTTACAATTCAATTTTTCGAAATTTCATCGATTTTTTTTTTTGGAAATTTTTCAATTAAATATTTATTGGAAAATACAAAGTTCAACTAATTTAAACAGAATTGAAATTAAAATTTTTATATAAAATTAATAATTAAAATTATGAGAAATTCCAATTTTTAAAGATTTTAATTTGAAACCTTTTCAAAATTCAATTATTTCTAAAAATATTCGTCATATATCATGTTCATCATCTACGAGAATTCAATTATTTAAATGCAAAAATAGAAAAATTATTAAATAATTAAATTTATTTGACAAACTTTAAGAAAAATTTTTAGAATAATTAAATTTTTCGA